TTAGGATACCTCTTTAACGTAACGAAAAACAGCCTTCCTTCGCTTCCTAAATGAAAATATGGGGTGTCTTTATTACATAATTGATTTTTTCCACCGTAATAAGAGTTGGTTTATACTTTTGGAACTTGGTGGATTCAGTTATTGCAAGTGGAAGTCGAGTGTCTGTTAGGTTATTAATAAAATTTACACATTTTTTTTGGTTTGAACCTGTAAAGTCCACTCCAACGACGACGTTCCCAAGTTGTCCTGTTCTTCTTCACTCCGAGTCTCCCGACGCCATCCGTCCGTCCCCTAGGGTTTCGCACTAAATAACACCAAGTTAAAAGGCAGACTGAGTGTGAGGGGGGTTGTGTTGGGGGGGGAGGTGGGTCCGATTCGTTGTCCCTGTCTTCTCGTACTCTTTGTGGTTCCATACTTCCTACTCCGACAATCTATTCTCTATTCCGTGTACTCCTCTTCCTATCTTCAGAATGGGAATTCATTTCCTTATTCGAGATAAAGACCCTTTGGTAATGGTAGAATGTCACTTTCGTAAGCCAAATCACCTAATATGCATGCGACGCTAAGTTCCCTAACAAGAGTATAGCCTGAATTAGTAAGCGAGTAATGAATTAATTTGATTTCAGTGTTATAAGGTCCTTCTATTACTTATTTCGAGGGTTGGGTCCCAAGGAGTTAAACGGGTTCGACCACAGAAATTTATTTGGCTTACACAGGCAAGTTTTGGGTCTGTACAAAGTCGACAATTATACTTATAAGTTTGGTTCCTATTGTTTTTAGCGTTGTAACTCTCCGACTTGTGTTTATCAACGGTTAGTGAAATAGACAGCTAGCTGTTTAGAAAACGACGTCGACGCCAATCCTTTCCTGGACTTTCGTACTACCCTTTGTCGAAGTGACGTTTCGTTTTTTCAGTGACTTCTGTTTACATTCAGCCGTCGATTCTTTTTTATTCAAAACTTTTTTTTGTCTCACTCGCTCTTTTTATTCTGGTCTCCCGTCCTCTCACTGCTTTACCCTTTTACATTCATCCTTCTCTCTTTTTACACCGTCCGTCGTCGGACGCACCTGGTTGTGGAGGTAGTAAGGACTGCGAATTGGGGGAGGGCGGCCTCCTCCAGTTGACGAAGAGAGCGGGGACACTCGCCGGAGGCATTTTCCTTTTCTCGCTCGCAGGCGGAGAAAGAGGTGTTGTGTGTGTGTGTGTGTGTGTGTGGTGTGTGTGTGTGGTGTGGTGTGTGTGTGTGTGTGTGGTGTGTGTGTGTGTGTGTGTGTGTGGTGTGTGTGTGTGGTGTGTGTGTGTGTGTGTGTGTGTGTGTGTGTGTGTGTTGTGTGTGTGTGTGTGTGTGTGTGTGTGTGTGTGGTTGTGTGTGTGTGTGTGTGTGGGTGTGTGTGTGGGGTGTGTGTGTGTTCGATGACCGACGGTGACATTTAATTAGGGTCATCTATGATTTTTTACTTTTCGATTAGGAGGGAAGTGCTGTCCCTATAACCTTCTCACTTTGTGTTAGGAATTTAAGGTAGGACTTCTCTCAAAGATGGAGTCGGTCCTGGCGAGCGTGTTGTAGCGAAGATCTTTACAGGGTGTACTGACCATCAGTACCTAAACCTGAATTATAGACAAACACTCTACATCACACGCACGAGAAAAAAATTCGGACACACAAGGTGCGAACCGTACACGAGCAGGAAAAGGATGCCAATTTCTCGCCGAGACCTTGGTTTTACAACAAGACTCAGTTCTCCTGTGCGGAACACCTTGACAATCGTTGTCGACCCCCTGTTCTTGGCGGTTTGGTCTGTAACAGACGTTATCCATCATATCGTCACCGCCGGCAAGGGTGGAGAAGGGTTGTATGTTTTTTTTTATAATTTCGGTTTAATAAATTTAATTTTTTCTTTTAAATTTTTTATATTAAAAAAATAAAATATAACTTTGTTCCATATTTTATATATGTTACATAGTCATTTTACATAAATCAATGTTATTTTAGACAAATTTTAAACAAATGCTACAGATAATTACCAATTCAACTTCTGTAGTCCTATCCAGCCATTTGCTAACAACCATCGTTTTTCAGACTCGTAAACTCTTCAGAAATCACCAGTGGGGTCACTGCTGATGTATTTAATGTCATAGAACAAAACGTGATCCGTCTCTTCAATGTGTCTCGACCACAGACCTTACTTCCAGCTGTTTTGCTCAATCCTATGGAGAGATTGAATGGTTTTTGTCGAAGGAACCGGAAGTGGTAAAATGCTAACTTACTCCGGGTTTTAGGTTGCGTCACTGTGGCACTCTATACTCTAAATCCTTAGTAATTAATAGAAGTTATGCAGGTACATGAACATAGGTTTAGTAAAATATGGAATTTGTCACTTTCATAATAAACAAATAATCAGAATTAAAATCAGTAACTTCAAATTTGTTTTCAGTATTTCAAACAATTAATTTTTTATTTGGAACATTTGACATAACGCACAATATAAAGTGTTCAAATGTAGAAAATCTGCTTTTCGTCCACACGCCATTTAGCCAGTGAATGATTCCATTTTTAGGACCACTGGCCGACGCTTAGCTCCATTGGTAGTGCTGAGGCCCATTAACTGGGACATCAAGCTGAAGATCCTGGTTCGAATCCGGTCTGGGTCCATTTGTCTCACGTGATCCCCTCTGTCTCACGTGATCCCCTCTGCCTCTCAAGAGTTTCAATACTGTCTAAACACAGAAGGCACTGGTTGCCCGAAAATATCTTTAAAATAGTTTCTTACAAACCACTCATTAGATAACCATTCGTTTTTTTTGGGCAAATCTATTACCCTCTTGCAATATTTGAAAAGCTTTTGGCTGTACACTTGAGAATAAGTTTGTGTCCTAAACATAAGTGTAAAACACAAACAGTGCTTTATATACTTCAAGTGTTTGAAGTGTTTGCTGAAACTTTGTTGAGTTTCCTGAGTACTGTGAATAAAAAACCATCTTCAAGTCCTGGATTGGTTTGCTGTTCGGTTTGAATTGTCCAACTGTGACATTGTTGTTTTAAGGCTTTACATTCTGGTGTCTTTTAGTAGTCCTCTTCCAGTGTTTACTGCAGTCATGTGACCCGCTGCCTTCTGTGTTGAAAACATAAGAGTTTAAAACAGCTCCGCTCTGGTGTCATCAGAGCTCCACTTCGTCTCAGTGGCTCCCTCCTGCCTGCTGGCAAACACCAGCCCAGATGTCAGGCCAGTTGTTTTCCAGCCGCTGCGTCCTCTCTGCTGCTGTGACAGAAAGCGGAGGATGTGGAAGCAGTTGGGCGACAGATGTCAGATGCAAGTGTCTCCTGTGTCAGCCATGACGACATGTCGCTCCTTCAGAGTGTCCTTCACTTTCCTCTTGCTCTCAGACGGCTCTTGAGGAGAGCTCGCTCTTAAATCAGAGTACAACATTCTTACAACGTTTCAAAAACACTCAACAAGTTTTCCCAGCTCTTGATAGGGGATTTGATATTTGTTCTTTATTAGGATCCCCATTAGCACTAGCATGAGCATTGGCCAGGTTTCTTACGGTCATTAAAAACCTGGAAAAGTCATGGAAATTCAAAATGCTAATTCCAGGTCCTGGAAAAGTTATGGAAAACAATATTTTCCCAACATTTTGGAAAAGTCATGGAAATGTAACTAAAGTTGCATCAAATATAATTTATATTTTATCTAATCACCGAAATAGTAATACTATAATGATAATAAATACTGTATCGTATAGTAATGAAACGTAAAATGGCATTTAACTGACGAGGTGTTTTACTGGTGAGAGATTTTAGTTGCTTTAGCGTGTAGGAGCTAGTAAGCCTACAATTGGATTTGTTTTAGATCGGCACAACATGTTTCATATGCAGACCTTATTTTCCTGTTCCATGTTAAAATAAAAATGTTACCGCTGAGAAAGAGTAATTTTTTTGGTCATGGAAAATTAGGTAAAGGTCCTGGAGAAGTCATTGAACATCCTTGGTGAAAAAGTGTATGAACCCTGATTGGCTATTCTTCCTGGGGTCCTCACACACACAAAACATACATAAACATACATAAAACAAAACAGCTCATCATTTCATGCAATTTACAATGGTATATGAAGTGAAAACTAAAATGGTCATCCAATTTATGGGATATGGGATTTTATTATTATTAAAAAAATGAATCCTAGTGATTATTAATGATCAGGATAACCAGGAACATTCTCAGATGAGTGACTACAAAGCTGTCTAGCTCTCTATGATGGTAGAGAAGTGAAAAAACAACTTGTATTAGTAGTATACTCCATGGCAGCAGTAAGCCTCTTCCCCTCAGGGCTTCCAGGCTTCACAAAGTTTCATCCCCCCCCCCTCTTGTAGTTGTTCCTGTGAAGTGCACCTGCAGTGCTTCAGGGACGTGATTTTTCAGCTTTATTGGACACACAAGTCCTATTTGATGTTGGACGACATGTAAAGCGTTTTGCTGCCTTATTTGTTTTCTCGGACAAAAACCCATCTTGCATTTTGTGCTGGAGTGCAGATCAGACGATGTGTTTGTCCTGCGTTTCAGTACACGCCTGCTGACATGGTTTCCGGGACGCACTAAAAGATTTAAGCCGCGCCAGAAGTGAATGTCTGACATGTTTCAGAATAAAAGCTGAATTAGGACGCTGGAACTCCTCAAGCAGAGGAAGCGAGATGCAGCTCAGGAGTCAGCAGGGACTTGTGACACACTAATGGCAGCCGCTAACACATAAATGATACAAGCTCACTCCTAACAGTGCAGCTCTCACACTCTTCATTATCCCACAGCCTCCGTTCACACATCCACTGCTCTGTGGTGTCGTTGTAGTTTCTAATGCGCTGTTAATACACACAGCAGCAGTCATTCACCGTGGCAGGACACACAAGGCCACTCTGTTGTCTCATTTGCACACATTAAGCTGTGAAGTTGACTGACAGTCTCTCCTCTCTCCCCCCACCCCCTCACCCCTTCTCTCTCCCTGCCAGCCGGTGGCCGAGCCCATCCCCATCTGCAGCTTCTGTTTAGGGACCAAGGAGCAGAACCGCGACAAGAGGCCGGAGGAGCTCATCTCCTGCGCCGACTGTGGCAACAGTGGTGAGTGCTGATCTGAGAACAGTGCGACACGAGGCCATAGCTCCGTCTGGGGGGTGCATTTCTCTAGCTTTGGGCGTTACACTTCTCGTGTTTTGTGATTAAAACAACCACCGGAGAAGAGGATGCAACCAGCTGATCCAAAATGAACTTTTATTTGTCCACCAGTCAAGTGGCTTATCAATGTTTACATTTTAACAGTTTTGGCTTGTGGTGATGGAAATGTATAAGCCTTTTTTCACTAGCATTCACAGGGTGTCCGCGGGGTCTTAAAAAGTATTAAAAGTTGATAAATCAATTTAGCGAATATGAAGGCTATTAAAAAGTATTAAACGGCATTGTGAAGCTGACAATTGAGCGGCCCGACCAAGCAAGGAGGCAGAGGCAGACTTCCCAAATATAACCCGGTGTGGGCATTTATTAAAGCATGAACACATTACACACCGCCTCAATCCTGCTGCTGCTGTTCACGTGAGCACAGCCTGCAGCCACCAGGATCTCACACACACTCCCTGCCTCCTAACAGACAGGGAAACAGAGCCTAAATACACACACACCCTAATCAACCAATTAGACACAGGTGGGGGGGAGGAGACAACACAGGGCCCCAGGTGCACACAATCAACAGCCACAGATATGGGGAAAGGGGAACACTTTTAACATAAAACCAGCAAACAGAGACAGACAAACTAAAACACAGACAGATGCACACACTACATACATTTCGCCACCAACAAAGCTACCCAATCCGTAACGGAGGCCGAGATCTATGGCCCCAAAAATCACCTCTGTTACAGGCATTTTTCAAGGTATTACATTTTGTAGCTTGTTTTCAATAAGTATATAAATGGTCCAAAGAGGTTGTATTCTACAGTCTGCCTGAATGTAATCATTGCGTAGGTGTGTAGTGTGATTCTGTGGAGTTTATTTATGGCATCCCGTTGGATTTGACGTCATCTGAACAGGACATCGCACGCTCAGTGCTTGATAGCGCGAAGGTCCGTTTACGCCGGTTGTTAAGCAACATCGTTATGGGGAAATGCAAGTCTGCGTCCAAATGGTTGGAAGATAAGGAGGAAGGACAATCAATACTGTATATAGTCAATGTGAGGTAAAGTGTGTCGCCAATGGAACCGGTTAGAACTCAAAGTGGCGATGAGGTCTTAAAATGTATGGAAAGGGTCTTAAAAAAGGTCTTGAAAGGAATTACATCTGACTTCAGGATTCCTGCATATACCCTCAACATGTTCTAACTTGCATGTAAGGCTTAAAGGTGGGGTAGGTACGTTTGAGAAACCGGCTCGAGATACACTTTTTGTTATATTCCATGGAATGCTCTTAACATCCCGATAGCAATGAATATCTGAAGTGCTTTGACAATAAATCCATTAAAAAAACTTCATCTGTGGAAGCCGTAGTGCTGTAAAAAGCACGACCAATCATCTGAGCCGGCCCGGCTAAAATAACTGGATGGCCTACCTGCCTGTCAGCCTTCCATCTGTGCACAAACTTATCTCGTGCCCTCATTGGTCATGTGCGCGTTCGTGTGTGTTGGAGGAGGGGCTCTGTAAGGAAGTCTGAAGGAAGGGCAGATTGTGTATTTTCAAATTCTAGCGCACTCCAGCTGGTTTCTCCATTCTTACCTGCCCCACCTTTAATCAAAATAGATATAAAAAAAAGTCCATATTGAAATGTAGATATTTGGTCTAAAGTTAATTGTGCTTGTTACAAAAATATTTCCACAATGAGGTTTTAATGTCAACTGTCTTCACCGGCTTCATGTGGATATAATGACTTAATGGGCAAAGGAAAAGGACAGAACACTAATAGAGAAATACACTAATTTACTATTATGCAGCCTTTAATATCAATGAAAGACTAAACTTATGCCATATTAGAATATCCAACATCTGAGTCTTTTCACTATATCATAGTAATATGAATATATACTCAGCCCTGCCTGCATGCAGTTTAAAAAAGTCTCCAACAGTGATAATTGAGTTCACAAAAGCTATGAATAAAATATTAGTTATTATTAATCCTTTTCAGTAACAATAGACCTTCTAGTGAGGATATCATCATGCTATTGTGTTGATGGAAAGACTAAATGTGGTTTAAAAAGAATACATTTTGCCAGTCCCTCTGTATTTCTGTGGATATAAAACACACTATTACAGATGTTTCCCACACAGCAAGGCCCGGGAGGAAGAAGTTATATTTTTTATACCGCATCGAATTAAGTGTGAAATGTAAGGTATCTGCGGATTAAAGCTGTTTTCATTTCTATGACATACATAAATGCCCAGATTTCTAAGTCAACTAAAGCCTAAAACAGAACGAGGCTGAGTGAATAGGATTTGAAAACAAGGACACTTAGGAACCAAGCAAAACAACGGACAGAAAACATTAGTTTTTCAGCTTATTTCTAAATAGCTATTTGCAGTTCAAAAGCAAATACCAGCACAATGCTAAGCAGACACTCTGTAACCATTAAGTATAATCTTTGGCGGCTGCACCCAACTATTTTATTTTGGTTATTTTTCTTTTATTCTCCTGCCATTTTTTGAAAGAGATGAACACAGTAATAGACAGACTCTGGCAGCGGTCTTTGTTTTCACAGAGATTTGGATATAATTACGGTGTTCCTGCTGCCGAGTGAACGCAGAGGAGAGATTGAGTTTTTCCCTCAGCGGGTTTCTGTCCCGCACAAGACCATCTTGTTTGCTGCTCTTCAAAACAGCGAGAGCTCATCTCTGACAGATTGTCTTTTATGTTTGAACACTCTCTTTGCAGCCGGCCTTGATGTAGGGAGGGCTTTCAATTCCAAAAGGAGCTGTTTTTTTTTACAGCTACAATGATGCAAGTGGGTCACGGCTGTCAGTCAGCAGCACAAAATAAAAAAAGTCTCACTTGTTTGTGCGTGTGTGTCTATCTATCTACCTGCAGGCCACCCGTCCTGTCTCAAGTTCTCCCCAGAGCTCACAGCGAGAGTCAAGGCTCTGTGGTGGCAGTGCATCGAATGCAAGACTTGCAGCAGCTGTCAGGATCAAGGCAAGAATGCGGTGAGTGGAAATGCGGCCGAACAGCAGCTGAGAGCATCTCTTCTGCTTAAGTGCCACACTGAGATGCTGATAGACATGTCTGTGGTCGCTGGGATTGAGCTATTTTAGTCAGCATTTCACTCTCTTCTCCTTACCTGTCGAGTGAGGAGTCATTGTTATTCAAATGCTCGTAGGGAGGTTTGACGGCGAGACAAAATGTTCAACACGCTGTCAAGATGCACGATGAGAAACTGGTCTTTAAAGATGGAGAATAAAAGGGAAACAAGGAAGACGCTTGAACCAACCCTGAAGGATATGTTGAAAGATCTGTCTAACTTGAAATGGCACATTACATTACAAGTATTTTGATGCATTTTTGTGCATAAATATGTGGAATTCTAGTCAGGTAATTAAAGGAGCTTTGATCATGCTTCACATAATGTATCCTCAAACAAAAATTAAATACATCTAATTGGACATGAGCGACACGTATTTAATATAAGCAGTGTTTGTTTTTCGACCGGACAGAGCGATATATTTCTATATGAATGAACAAACAGGAAAGTTTAAACGCATGAAAGAAAATCGTACCTATCAATAAGTTGTACCAATATGCTAATGACAATCATTACAAAAATGTAGGCTCAAGAAGAGAGAGTGAGAGAAAATGTAATGTCTGAGTTTAAGAACGGCCAGTTGGTTCCAGAGAGCTCTCCTGCACTCTGAATGACTTTATAAGGACTCACACTTTGACCTACCCTATTTTTATCATATCGTTTTAGCTAATTTAGTCTGAACTTGCTAATACTCAGTACTTTGTGTGTGTTCGCTGTGCAGGACAACATGTTGTTCTGCGACTCCTGTGACCGGGGCTTCCACATGGAGTGCTGCGATCCTCCCCTCACGCGGATGCCCAAAGGTAAACAAAAACAAGACTCCTTTAAGTCTTCACCTCTATGCAGCCGCCCCTGAGTCTGACCGTAATGTCTTGAGATCTCAGGAAGCCCCTAATGCTTCACCATTAAGTGCTAATGTGTTTGAAACGTCCCTAAGCATGTCGGTGTCTGCTCTAAATCCACCTCGGGGTTTATAAACCTGTGCTGACTCTTTCTCTCTCAGGCATGTGGATTTGTCAAATCTGCCAACCCAGGAAAAAGGGAAAGAGGCTGTTACATGAAAAGGCAGCACAAATCAAACGGCGCTACAACGCACCGCTGGGCCGGCCCAAGAACAGGTAGAGAAACGACGTCTTCTTCAATGTCTGCTGAGTCTGTTTCACAAGGGGTGGGGGGGGGGGGCAACAGCAACGTGGCCTAGCCAAGTGTCTCAGAATCCCCCTCAAAATGTCATGTCATTTATTAAATTTTGATGACATATCTGTTGTTCTTTTTTTGCAGCATCACACATATTCAAACGTAAACTACTCCCATCAAAAAATAATTACATATTTTATTTAAATCTAGTTAAAGGGGACCTATCATGCAAAATGCAGTTTTTGATGTCTTTTATACATAAATATGTGTGTGTCAGGGAACTCAAGCAGCGTCAGAAAATAAAACCCTCTTTCTTTTCCTCCGTACCCAAATCTCTAAAAACGGGGCTACAACGGAGCTGATCCAGATTTGCGTCCGATATGACGTAATATCTGAAATGTAGGCGGGCTTTATGCCCACGGCCCTATCAGAAACTTTGCTATCAGAAACAATGCCCGACTGTTTTGGACGTAATATGGTCGGTGTTTACATTAGCATTGCTAACACTCAGAGCTAACCTGTACTGGAGAGCATGTGTGTGAAGAAGCAGGAAGTAAAAAGGAACTCACCTTGTGGTATAACC